AAAAATAATAGAAGCATATTTATAGTTTCACATAATGCGAGAACAACAATTTTGGATAATAAGAAAGTGTAATATATTAAAAGTAAGATAAATAATAAGAAAGTGTAATATATTAAAAGTAAATAAATTGTATATACCTTCACAAATGTACAATAATCGTTACATATACATATGTATAATGTCTGTTATATTAAAATGAGTAATACATTTCGGATTTAATATTTCACACAATCTCTTTATTAGAAAAACAAATATATATTTCATTTGGAAAATTAAATTTTACATCCATAATGTGAAATAATTATAAACAACAATTCAAATGTATAACTTAAGCTTATTAAAATGATTTGCAAGAGAGAATGTAGATGAAAAGAATGAATGGTTAAGATAGCTTATAATTATAATTAGGGTAATATAAACCGAGTCCTATTGCTGGCTGCGAAGCTGCATAAACATAATAATATTAACAATAATAATAATTATTATTAGCTTAAAATTATTAAATAAGGAATTTTGGAGTCATCAATTTTTGACGAACAAAACAGTAAAAGATCACGGTTCAAAATTTCACCGAACGTAAACCTGAGATAATGAAAAGTGTTATTGCCAACTAACTAAAGAATATTATCTGTCTATGATAGTTGTCCAGTTCTTGTGAATATTTATTTATTTTTCATGTTAACAAGGCCCGAGCTGCTACCTATGGCTGCGGTCGCAACTCAGATGCGATGTATAAAATATAACATACAATTATACAGGATGGTTCGTTTTAAATAGAACACCAGATTGCTTTTCTTTATTGGTGAGAATCTGAAAGATGTTCAGGACATAATTGGACTGTATTCAAAGTGCAAACAAAACAAAGAGAAAAATATTTTCACAAAATTTTATATACCGAGCAGTGGGATCAAGAATTAATTATTATTGATTAATATTATTTGGAAGTAATTATCATTACTAATAAAAATCACATATAGTCTTAAAACGAAAATTCGCTTATTTGGTATAAAATAATAACGGAAAATCGAGAAGCTAAAAAATATAGTTTTTGATTGATTTTAGGTCATTAATAATTAAATAGTTCTTCGAAATCCTTAGAATGATCCTTGGAACATTCTTTCGGACTCTCGCAGTTAAATGGGACATTTACAGATTTAATTTCTGGTGACTTAAGCTTGTATAATATGTATTTATAAGTATATGCACGCGCGTCGGCTAACATATCGTTATACGTACATACGTACTGTTGTTTCTAACAACAATAGCTATAAACTATATCGTACATATATGTATATCTGCACATAGAATATTTTCTAACAAGTTCACGATAATACTTTTTCAAATACTTAATGTCTACTCAACCATTTTCCGTCGTCGATATTCAAAGTCAAGGAGAGACAGACAATTGCTTCGGATATGCTTTGCGAAATTATTCGGTTCATTTTTTATACAAGTAATAAAAGCATCCAATAGGATGCAAAACTCTTGTGGATAAATATAATTGTCAACAGAAATTTCATATCTTAGAAGAAAAATAAAATTTATAAAGAAACGAAACAAAAGGATACACCGTTAAATAATTATTTCGTTTTTTCTCATTTTGTGCTATAGAAAATTGAAAATGTAATGTTTGATACTGTATTGTTTGCAGTTACAAACTCTGTTCAATTTAGTAGATTACATTTCCTCGGTATTGTCTGTCTAACGACTAGTCTATTCTAAATATTAAATCGACAATAATACTTCTTATTTTCCATTTTACATAGGCTTTGTTATTTCGGTAACATTTGAACGTTAATACATTTTAATGTAACGTTTTACACCTGATCGGTGATTACAATTCGCGTATAGTCTACACAGCATGTTCGTCTGTTTGAGCCAGGCGATGTAAAAGCGTTTCAGCAACTAAATCGAAACATTTGGTCGCGACAATACTGTCATTAATCTGAAACATCAACGTTTGACAGCATTCGTGCCAATCCTTCGCTTTTATTTAAAAAAAGAAAAAGATGAACAGAATATCTTCCATTTCTAAAAATGGAAGAAAATGGTTAACAATCGATCGGTTCAAACGTAATTACAATATTTACTTTTGAACTCGAATAATGTTTTGTTTTCTGGATCAATGATTCTGATGGAAAAAATAAAATAATACTATACAAAATATAATTGTAATCTCGAATATTTTGGACTTCGATGCACAGACATCCACAGCCTTGTAATAACTCATATAACAATATGTGGTTTAGTTTTAGTACAACAATTTTGCAAGAAGAATCGACACTATCGCATTTGTCTATGATGGAAAGAAATAAACATCTTAGAGGTAAAACCGCAACGAAAGCTCATTTATTAAGTACCGGTAAGGATAGGAACTCCGTGAACAGAATGTGGCTTACAATTTGCTGGTTGCTTTTCTCAACTACATGAAAGATCTATTATATTTGAGTTTTTCTTACGTTTGTGTTATGGCATTTTTCAATGGTACGGTAGAGATTCGAGTTCTTACGTTTTCTATGTTTCAACAAGACGCTTGTAATTATTAAAATATTAACTTTTATGCAACTTAAAGCTGCTGCCCAAAGAGACTTTCCTCTAGCTAATGCAATTATACACATTCATTAAATCTAGAATGGTATCAATAATCTAATCGCTTATCGACTTTATCTAGAAAATTCTGTAATGCCTGTAGTATTTACAGGTTGGACCAACTGCACTGTGTTCTCGTGAACACTGCAGAGACATTTTAGAAATGAAGATATCCATTAATATAATATATCATCGGTTGATCTCATTGAAAGAAAATCATTATTTTTGTAGTGTATTTTTTCTCGTTCCTCTTATTGCGATAGCTGATCGAATGATATTCGAAGTCAGAGCTAGGATCTCATTTATTCGAATAAATCATTGGTGTTCTTTGACAAATGCAATTACGTTGTTCCATCGAACATCATCGTCGATATTAAGTGTACACACACGGGTAATCTACTATTTCCTTAACAATGACACACAAGACAAATTTAGTAGATTTTTCTACCCTTGTGCTGCGTAATATTACCGTGATTTAGTGGTCTCCGTCGAGAAGAAATGTTTTACTTGGACAAAATAGCAGATTACACCTTGATACACGTGATATAACATTCCAATTCAATTTCAATATTTCGATCAACGAATTTAAACGAGTTCGATTCACGGTTTCATTATTTTGTTGGTCATACTTTCATATTTCTAACAGTAGAGTATTATTGCTAATTATTAAATACGTCCTTCTGTTTGATGCGGGGATATAGAAAAACATGATCTCATTGAAAAAACATTTTAACACGGTGTCCGAAATAACAGACGACTGTCAAAAGGAAATCGACAAGTTGTACAAATAGCGTCTATCGTATCTATTTACAAGAAATATAATAACCGAAAATAGAAATGTTACGCGAGCTTGAAATATTTCTATTTCAGCCAACCAATGCGTCCGGTAAAAACCATTTCCCATAATAATAAGTTAATTACAAGTTGAAACGCAACATAACAAGAGAATTTTAATTAATTAAAATTCTTTCGATTTTCTCTAGAAAGCAATATTTCTTTGGTTCGAGTTTTCGGGAACTCACGAAAGTGGAGAACATACCTCTAAACACACGTCTACAATCTAATCAATTATACTGCAAAGGAAGCCGTTAGATGGGAAAATAGGTGTGCGACACCGTGGTTCGTTACAGGTTTTGCACTCGAAACTAATCCTTCTGTGGATCATATTCTCATATCCTTTTGCAAATCAAATCAACCAATTTTCAGATTTTTCTCGACCTTTTACAGATCAAATTGACTTCTACGTAAGAATTTATACGCTTATCTATAAAATAATACACATCTCATTACAAGCAATTGATATCTTCACCAATCTTAAATAAACTATTTATAAAATGTCATACAATTTTGAAAAATACGAATTTTATTACAACTAATTACAAATAGGTCGCATTTGAGTTGCAGAAAGCTGGGTACGATCCACGAAAGAATTAATATGATTTGTAAAAAGATGAATACGATCCGGGAAAGGATTAATTTTTAGTGCGAAGCCTGTATCGCAATCACACATAATTACAAATTGGTTCGGTACACTGAGCGTGTCGTGGTAAATGGTAGAAAAGATAAACTGCGTTGTATCGTTGGACAGTGCTTATGCGTTAAGAAATGATCTCATTTGGGTGTACAAAGGTGCGAGTCTATTGCGCAGGGGTCCCATAAGCCCTGTGGCATACGGGATCCTTGTCGTGCAGAGAGAAAGTGAGACAGAGAGAGAGAGAGACAGAGAGAGAGAGAGACAGAGAGAGAGAGAGAGAGAGAGAGAGAGAGAGAGAGAAAGAGAGAGAGAGAGAGTAAAGAATCGTCGAAGGTATCGCATCGTAATGTCTGCGTTCCGAGTGGTGCGTTCGAGGTCCGTGTGGTTCAATGTAACGTAAAAATTAAACCTCAACGATGGAATATTAGCAAAGGTATACTTGGAACCGGGCACCGTGCAAAATCACAACCGCACTGTCCTAGACTGGCTCCGGAGGTGGATCTCCGTTGATACCTTCCCTGGATTGGATCATGACTTCCGTTTGTTCCTTGGTTAATTCTCGTTGCTCGTTGGTGAGATTCAGGTCTTGATCTGCCATGAAGCTGCGGCGAACGACGCCGTTCGCCACCGACGACAAATCCGCGTTCCTTTGCTGAGTGTCTCTCCAGGGGGTGGTGAGGATCTTCAATCTCTGTGACACAAAGATGTGAATCACCGATCCAGAAATAATCACTCATGTAATCGCTGGTTCAATATTGACAACTACACTGTCGATTTTATGCAAAATAACAATGATCTGATTCAATTGGAAGAAAATAGAAAATAAAACGGGAAGTACGTTACATTCATGAGTCTTAAGTAAAACTTTAAATTGATCTAATCAGTACAATGTCTAAAGTGAATGTCACAAATGAAATTGTTTCAATAAATTCGCGAAACAACGCGTTTATAATTTCAATCTTTGTAAATATTTTATGAAATGCTGTAGTATTGCTGGAAAAAATTTAGAGTGATTTTATCTGCATCGGTTGAGAATTTTAATGCCTGCTCATTGTTCAGCCAAATATGTACCATGTTTCGAGAATTATTATATAAATATGAATAATATTAGATGCAAATGATGTTAATCGAATGGATATCAGATGAATCGGTATCAGATGCGAATGGCATTAGATGAATCCTAAAATGGAAATTATAATTCTTCAAACACGCTGTAACATTTTAAACGAAAACATTGAAATGTGATCTTGTATTTGTCAAATTAGAGAAATCTTTACTCCTCCAGGGACAATACTGTCCACGATATTTCGTAATTCGACGTGTACAATACTGTTCCATAGAACTACACGCCCGTAAAAGGGATTACGTTAAGATTCCAATAATTACCTGAATAAAGCTGCCAGGCGTAACGATGATCTTGTAAATTGCGACACCGGGTATCATGGCAATCGAGGAAGTCGCAATTAGCCAGCCTAATACGTTTGCCCAGACTGGATACACGTAATCCTCGTATGTTAATGGTTCGTAGCCCATTAAACCATATACGATGATAAACTGTAAACACGATTCGAAAATATTCTGAGGGAAGCATTCTAATCAAAGCTGAAAGAAACATTTTTGTTTTCTTCATTATTTTTTTACGTCGATTTTATTCGTATGAACTCCTGTCTTTTTATTAAACTATTACGTCATGCCAATTCGTCGAGGGTACCGAGTTAAAGATAACGTAGAGATGCAGTCATCGATGTGTTCATTGCAAATAGTTTTTTCTATTTTTCAAAATACGCGATGCAATTAACTATATAGAATAAATATCGTTATTCGATTATAATATTTGTATAATAATATAATAATATAATTGACTACGATTCACACACGTCTAGAAGGAACATCTCAAAAAATATGGCGTTAAATTATAAATTATAAATTATAAAAATCATAAATGACCGTAAGTACATGTATTCGGTTCTTTATCAAAATGATCCGCCGTTCGAGTCATAAGCATCAATGTGGAATAACGGCGTATATTTATCGGTGGCATTGCATAATTAAAAGTCCTTACTGTGGAAGCATTAAATCTGATTCGTCCTGTTAATGTTGCATTAGCGTCGGATTAATATCGTATTGATTACCATAAGAAATATCGGTGCGACGAACTTCCAGCAGACTCTCCAGTAAATGCCAGGCGAAAAACCGATCATATCTTTAATATCGGCGCAGAATCGATCGGTTCCGTAGATCCAGCTAATGGCTATTGCCTCTGCCAAAACTGCGAACAGCATCGAATAGCCGGCAGCGTAACGATCCAACAAGTGGAAAAAGTAAAAGCCGCCCTATTTGAAAACGAACAGTAGTGTTACCATACTTACAGACATCATTTTTTAGAACGAAAAGAAATATAATACAAAAAATAATATAATATAATATTATACAGGGTCTCTCTCTCTCTCTCTCTCTCTCTCTTTAGGTCACCTAACGCTTGCACCTCAATTATATAAAATATAAAATATAAAAATATTCATCCCTGTGTTAGTTTCTTTTTTTTAGAGATACCAATAATATAAATTGTCTGTTGTATTTGTTGCAAGAATTGGAAGTCGCTCGGATTTCATTCTTTCTTTAAAAACTTTAACAAGTTGAAAATGGTGTATCTCGGTATCCTTTAGGTGTTTAAATTGTGCCGTCGTTTTAAATATCAACTACTTATTTTTGTCACGAATGCATAAAAAAATCCGTAGTTTACAAATCAGTTTTCATCACCTCTTTAAATCGAATACATAATTCTGTATTTGTTCCGTCGATTGTTTACTGACCTGCGAACAGGAAGCTAATCCAACGACGAAGTACAGCGTGAAGAGAAGGGCGACGAAAATTTCACGATTGTTCCCGATCAATGGGAACTCGTCGCTGAGAGCAGTGATTATCGCTTCAGAACCACCAAACTATAAAAACAATTACACATATTTCTGCTTATCGGGTGCTGGCGATAATGACTGGCGAGTAATAAATATTTTATACACAATCTACTAGACATGAATATTATTCATTTCGTATTTTTTCAAAATTGCAACAAAAATGACGGATTCAACATTTTTCAACTTACGTCTCAGCGAGATTGTAAACGTACGTTTACAGAGATAAAAAGATTCAGTCTCTTTGAGCATATATTGTGCGACAAATCGCTAAAAATCTGAATAATTGTATTTTTGTTATTTTTTAACGCGACTCGAGAATGCTAAAAATATGCTAGATTGTACTAAAAAAGATATTCTAAGAAAAATATATAAAATTAAAAATTGAAAGCTCGCGCGTCTTTGATCAATGAATGCGTTTTCAGAGAATCGCGTCTGTTCAAAAACTTGTGAATCCTGTACCGAGCTGTCCAGTCCCAAAGTTAGAAGCATCATGAAGAAGATCAGTGCCCAGAACATGGATCCGGGCATGGTCGCGATAGCAGCAGGATAGACAATGAACACTAGACCAGGTCCTTCCGTCGCTACATCCTGAATGGATTTTCCACTTGCCCGTGCCATGTATCCGAGCACAGAGAAGATCACGAATCCGGCAACGAAAGACGTTGCGCTGTTAATTAGGCTGGTTAATAGAGCGTCTCTGAAAGATCGAACAACGACAAAAAAGCTTATATAAATGTCATAAATGATCCTAAATGCAAATGTTCCTACGAAATTTAAGACATTAATCGTACATCACAAAATAATCAAGAAACTATAGATTATAAGATTACAATTGTCCTTGAGTAGAGAAATGTTAATCGTTAACCTAACATTACAGCCTGTTTACGTGTTTTCTCCTTTCCTCGAAAAATGTAATTTTCGCATTGAAATATAAAAATAAGTATACAAATATACAAATATATACACAAATATACGAATAAATATACAAATAAATACACGAATAAATACGCAAATACATGTACAAATAAATATACAAATAAATATATAAATAAATATACAAATCTCTCCTGAGATTCTCCGCGAATAATTGAAAAAAGACTTATCAATCTTACAGAGTTTCCTTATTCTTTTCGAGACAAATAAAATAAAAAAATATTTGTACACATAATTTCACAACTGTGATTTTAAAGGCGGAAGCAGATTCTTATACGAGTTCTCTTTACTCTTATTTGAACCGTGTCCAGGGTCACTTTATCGTAATTAGCCATGCGTGGGACGTTTTTAATGTTCCGGTTGTTTCTTACTTGTAAACGTTGTTGTGGTATTTATTGTAACTCGCATAAGCCAGCAGCACGCCAAATCCCGGGCCAAGCGAGAAGAACACCTGTGTCGCGGCATCCACCCACACCTAGAAACAATTCAAGGGGTTTTGTCGAAAGCCGCAGGATATCTTGACCGGTTTATTAATTAAAATAGGAACCGCGATTTTTTCGCGAATAGTATCGTAACAGCTTCCTAAAAATACTTTTAGCTATCCTTGTGTGTAACTGAAGTAATCGACCAGCTGTAATACAAAAGAGACATCCGAAATCTGTCAATCGAAAAGTCAATTGAATTTAATCAATCGCATTATCAATATTGCGAGTCATTTTGTACAGAATGTCTCAATTGAGTTCAAATCGGCTGTTATATTTAATAAATACAGACAATTTTGTAGTTCAAAAAGCATCAAAATAGGAGCATCGAATATGAAACACGGGGACATGGTATGAAAACAGTGTTCCACTATAGGTACACGCTCGTTATTAATTACTTTATTCGTATTCATTTTTACTCGCACTAAATGAAAATTTCAAGGATCGTTACGTTGTCTAGAAACATCGATCTGCCGAACAGTAGCACAAATGTTCAACAATAACGCCATCAAGTTGTAATAAAATCGATGACAATCTTCAAAGCCCGTGAAAAGCATTCCATAATTCGAGGAAAATTCGTTCGAAAATGTGTCCGGACGCGAGTCGCTTCACGTTGTGCTATAACAGCATCAGCCGCTATATACTTCGAAAAATTACATTTTAGCCAAGATTTCGGATCAAGGCAACACTGTGCAATCGCGGCTTAAGATGATGGAAGCCGACGCGTGACCGCTCGAGAAGAAAAAACAGCGGACCGCTTTATTCGCGAGAGGAGACGCGCGGAAATGATTCACCGTAAACCCCCTGATCTCTGGAATCAACAAATTTCCCGGGTCGCTGTATAAAATCCATTTTAGCGTTCCGGAGCCGCGACTACAGCAGCCGTCGCCGCCGCCATCGCCGTCATCGCCGGGGAGAAATGCATTCCGCTTACGAGCGGAGAGGGTCGAACGTGCGACTCCAGGCCTCTGACTGACCGAACTCTAATGGTCATTATGACAGGTACACAGAGTTTCCATTTTCAGCGTCGTCGGATAAACCTGGCACGTTCCACTCCCACCCAATAATTCTCGCGACGCGGCCCGATTTTTCCGACCCTCTTATATGCCGCTGCATTAACTTCCTAGCCCCCGGTCGCCGTTTTTTATTCTCTCCCGTGCCGTGGCCGCTGTAAGTGGCCACTTCATATTCCCGCGATCATCCGCTAGGAAACGATTCCAACGAATTGTACGGCGAGTCGCCATTCTGCGCTTTTTCTTAGGTTCAGATTCGTATTAGGAACGTTCCCGTCCAGGCTGCCACCGGTCATTGAATTCGTACGTCGAATGTCGATCTTGCGGAAACTCTTACGTTGTAACATCGCGACGGAAACGGTGAAATGTCGGCTACTTTTTTGCCACCTACAATGAATTCACGAAGAATACGTAATCTTTACATTAGAACTGCCAAACCAGTTTCTGCCGAGTCAGAATATGACTCATTTTTTCCTTACTGTTACTGAAATTATAGAAACATCTCAACGAGAAATCTTCTAATAAACTTTTTTACTACAGCATATATGTTACGAGGTTTGAATAAATCAAATGTAAACATTGTTATAAAAAGATTATATATAATATCTATATATTATAGATTATATTATATCTATATATTATAGATTATATTATATCTATATATTATATCTATATTATATCTATATTATATCTATATTATAGATTATATATTATATAAGTATATTAGTCGCGATAGAAGAGTAGTTCTAGTGTTAAAAATATACAAAATGTTGAGCGATACTAATACAGAATTATTTTGTCCGTGTATCTTATATAGACAAACAGAATCTTTAATTTTATCGTACATAATCTGCAGGATTTATATCGATCACGCGAATTTGATATAGCTCGAAAGATTGTTTTAAACAAATATTTTCAAAAATATAATCTTGTCGAACTGATCCGATCGACTGTTTTCCACTAGTCGAAGAAGATATGTTCGTTTTTAATTTTGAACCGGTACACAGTTTGCACTCTTTGCCTTATAATTTCTAATACAGATTTGAGATCTAATTACCTCCGCCTTCGTGATGGCGGAAAAGTTCGGGTTGAGGTAGTAGCGTATCCCTTCGGAACTTCCTGGTAGCGTGACGCCCCGTATAAGTAGAATCAGTAGAACAGCGTACGGAAACAGAGCCGTAAACCAAACTACCTGTGACAAAAAGTTCCTTTCAACTTCGGCCCTACAAATAGGTGCTAACTCTTACTTGAGTTTTGAATTTGCATTTAAATACGCATAGCTTGACAATTGGTGCGTCGTTTTTGTTTTTCTCTTTTTGAAGTGACACACTTTTGCAAATATTCTGTTTTAAATTTAAATTAAAATGAGAAAGTTAAAATTCCATAAGCTGCGCTCACCATACAATATCATGTTCACGTACATAAATTCTATAAACTTATGTTATATAAAATGTTATATAAAATTATGTTAATACCCAATTCAGGGGTGATTCCTGAGGTCATTTGAAGTGACTTCTTTCTTAGCGAAAATGCGATCCGCGGCTTTGTTTACGAGTTATTAACGAAAACCAGTGACCAATGAGAGGCGAGCTTGGCTGGCGCGAGGCGGCCCAGCCAACGAGCAATCGAAGCCCAGCTTCGTTCATTGGCCCGGCATCTCGCGTCAGCTGATCTCGTCTCTCATTGGTCGCTGTTTTTCGTTAATAACTCGCAAACAAAGCCGCGGATTGCATTTTCGCTAAGGAAAAAGTTACTTCGAATGACCTCAGGAATCACCTCTTTCCGGACATTAACATAATTATGGGACACCCTGTATGAATAACCGCAGTGAGATAAATCAAAGTTAAGCTATGGTTAATTGAATTTTTCACATTGATTTCTATGCCTTTTTTTTATAAATATGCATCTAATTGTGAAAGTTAAAAATTTACTTGAAAATAAGATGCGTTGAGTTACTACGAGATCGTGACTGGGAGACAATGCGCACCTTTCGGCGCTCGTCAAGAACGTTAATCTCACCTTTCCAGAGGTGGAGATACCCTTCCACAGGGAGAAGTAACAGATGATGTAGACCACCAGCAGGCACAACGCAATGTCCCACTTAATTGCACCAAGGTCGTGCAATCCTTCACTTTTGTAAAGCTCTAAGATGGCTCGGCTTTAAACAGAATTGATGAATCAGCGTTTCACACATATCCTTAGCGCTTTATTGAACACAGTAATTGTCCCCATTTTTATCGGGCACTATAAAACAGGGAATCAGCCTTGCTATTTCAAAAGCTGCAGAATTTTTATCGCGGCAAAATATCTCGTCTGAGAAATGCGAACATTTGAAATAGTAATTAATCTCTGTATTAAATGAGATACTGGTTGACGGCATTTTAATCGATTTCACGAATATAAATAATAAGTATTTAAAATATATATTTTACAGTACGAATCTGAAGCAGTCGATTGAAATAAATATTTTCTTTATTGTGCGTGAAACGAAACGCCTGCATATTATTTCATTTGCAAACAGATGTTAAACGTTCCAATTGTTATACGTTCATTAATTAAGGGAAATACAAGAAAAAGATTTTGTTCAAAACGATACGTGTTTGTACTCTTTCTGTGTAGGCTTATTATCGCTCATAAATGTTCGTCGTAAGAAATCGAGTTTCAAACAATTAATATAAATTCAAATAATTAATAGAAATTTAGGAATACTATTCCAAACAATAATTTTCTTTGCCACAACGTAAATAACTATTTACCATACATGTAGTCATTCGCTATGACGTTAAATAAATCTTGAAACGCTATTTCGTACAAACGAGAGTATTCCGTCAACTATTACCAAATACATTTTTTTGAAATATTTTTCCCCGGATCTGCTGGTGCACTCACTTGAAGTATTCTTGCGCAGCGCTCGTCTGCGACGTGCTGTTGTAGCGTTGATGGGCAGTTCTGTCCAAGTATTCCTCGACCAAGGACGAGTTGTCGGTGCTCCGTGGCTCCAACGATTCGACGGGAGACGTGTCGTCGAACGTGTAAGAGACGTTCGCGTCGAATTCGCGACAGTGCGGCGTGTTCCAGGGGTTGTCGCATGTGGTCCAAGGCAGAAGGCTGGAGAACGAAGCGAAGAAGTACCGCAAAGCCCACGCGATGATCACGTTGTAGTAAAAGTCCACGTAGAATGCGATTAGTGCCACCGCGTATCCGATTCCTGGTCAACAAAAACCTCGCTGCTGAATCTATATACAGTAATTTCTCCCAGAAATGCTCGGAGGTCGGAATCGAAGGAGATCTAGAATAAAAACGATGACTTAACCTTTTTCATTTCTAATTTTTTGCCACGATTCGAAGAAGGCAGTTCGGAGGCCACGTGACACGATTGGAAGGCAATTCGGAGGCAACATGACACGATTCGAAGGCGATTCGAATTGAAGCTCCGCGTCGACCCTTGACATCGACGTAGCAATAAGTTATTACATAGGCGTAGGACCAGCACAGGGAAATTCACAGCAACCCGAAATTTGGCATTTCCGGGAGAAATTACCATACTGTGTAATACCTGAACTTGTACACGTTTTTTGGGCCATAGTTTGCTAAGCGGTGGAGGATCAGGATCTAGAAGATCAGAAATTGTTTCGCTCTGACTGCTTTACTGCTGACACACACACACACACACACACACACACACACACACACACACACAGGATTCACTGTTGATCGGATGCACATTAAAATGGCAGGGATCCAGGCGCTTCTTGGTTAACGAGGCGGAAGGAGATGCAGGAATCCAGGTGTTACTGTACATGAGACAACGTTTGCGGGGCTCGAGAGCCAATCACCGTAAGTCCAGTTTTATTGCAAAAATTGGATAAAGCAATGTTTGATATCCGCGTCAATAAATATATTCTTCTACTCCTTTCTGGGCACCGGCATTTTTTACAATCGTTACAAAAATCAATTTATTTCTGCTTTTTCAAACTGGAGAACTTTCATTAAATATTATATTATAGTTATTTTGTTGCGTGTTTCTTTGCCACGAATCTTCTTATGAATTCTTGTTTTTGTAGGCTGATATAAAGAATACATGTTGTTATGATCTGCTTTTGGAAGTAAATTATCAGTAAATTGTCCCTAATCGACGCTCAGCTTGGAAACAAAAATGGACAATGTGGGAATTACTCGAGCCTTGCGGCTCGTTTTTATAGTTGTTTTTATAGTTGTCTCCTCTTTCCAAATTGTCAATTTCTGTGTGTGATGATGATGAGCGTCAATTAGTGAGAATTTACTTCTGTTCACTTCTTTCGAGAAACATTTAATATTCATGCAATTCTTACTAAACTAATAAATTGTTTGGAAGTAGATCTAGTCCACAAACTGTTTCATGTCTTTATTATATACTTTATATTCTGTATATACTTGTACACTTTATATACTTGCATACTTTACGTACTTCTATATTTTATATACTTATATATTTTATATACTCGTGTATACTTTATATACTTGTATACTATATACTTGTATATTTTATACTTGTATGCTTGTATACTTCATAATTTATATTATTATATACTTTTGTTCTCCAACGTTTCCTTGACAGGATTTGTTAAAATGCTAGACACTTCTGAGTTTCGGTAAAAAGAATGCAGGATGCGTTCTCGACGATCGCGAAACGTTTCAGTATCGGTTCACCGGAAAACGGTTAAACTCTAGTAGCCAATCTCGAATCTCAAACATTCCCCGGTTCACCGTAAAGGAATAAATAGTTACGCGATGCATAAAATGAAGGATTCCCGTTCTCTGCATGGTACGTTCATCTCGAAAGGATTAAAAATCTCTAGGGGTCCTGTCTTATATCCAATCCTCGAGCCAGAGAATATTCCATTATCCCGTGGGGAGGGTCGCCGGGAACGACGAATCAATTACGTAGTTCATCGATGCGGATCAAAAGGAGAAAGCACGTGGGAGACAAGAGTCGAGAGGAATCCTGTGCTTACATCGATCATCGGGACGCGAACGTCCTGGCTGGGAAATCGACGGAAATGGAGGCTCTTCTCGAATGGGTGGTCGTCCAACCCTAGGATCTCCCCGGATTTATACGCGTTACATAAAGCACCGTGCACGGTCCACCATATCGCGCAATAAAAGAAAGTATACCGGATGTGCCTAATGTCCCGCCGTTCTTCGTTCCGGGAGGTGTCGGCGGCCGAGTGCCGAGAAACGGTTTTCAGAAAAATTCACCGGGAAAAGAAAAGTAATCGCGCTCTTACGCCAATTGCCGAGAATCATTCCAAGGATTTCATGGACCCATCCGATCGCGCGAAAAGCTCTCGCCGCTTTTTCGTACACTTGGCTCGGCGGAAAGTTCCGCGTGCTTTTACCTCATTATGTCGGTCGCTGTGTACTATCACCGAAAGCCACACTTACGAAGATGTTTCATAAGATTATAGTAAAATTAATCGAGATCTATTCTTAGTCGCTATAGTACGCTTAATCGCTTTATTGTGTACAGAACTCTAATAAAAGTTTAAAACTTCATTGTGTGCGACACTTGGGTATAACATTAAAACTTATATAAGCTTATAAGCTTGCGTTATTCATCGTTATCGATATTATACTTTCTTTCTCTTCGAGAGAATAATAACTGAATCAGTAAAAAAGGTATTAGAAAAGTTATTTATTTTTCTACTTTATAACTTTGAGCGGAGCTGATTTAATACTTTGTGCAAAAAAGGACGACCCCGTATTTTTAATTTGAAATTACCAGATCCAGAATCAATGGTTTTTTATTAACGTAAACATGTTGAAAAATTGTATATGGAAATTTTGTATATGGAAACCATTTTTACAAAAACGTATATGTAATTCAATCAAATTTATCACCAATATCATCGAACAATAAAATTCTTTTCGCCTACTTTATTATATTAAACAATGAGACCACTAACGAATAGAGAATTTTCAGACACAATTGGACAATCAAGCTGGTACGAAGTTATAAAGTCAAAGCTTGCAAAAACAGCATTAAAGTAATTCTAACTTAGCAAAGAATGCAGATAATTTTTGTTGTAACTTTGGATACAGTGAAGCAGAATTTTAGAAAATGTAAATCGATTGTTTCACTTACCCTTTAAAAGTGGCACTATACGACCCCAGCAGGTGATCGCTCCTTTTCTGTTGAACTGGCCAAGGGCAAGCTCCATATAAAATAGAGGAATCCCACCCACTACCAGCATAATGCAATAGGGGACCAAGAAGGCTCCTGTAAACCCAAGTTCATTTATATTTTAATTGGTGTCCTGGTAACATAATTTCCAAATAATCAAATTTCAGACAGCGAAATTCGAGAGAAATTGTTGCAGGCTAAAAAATTGAAACACCAATGCCAGTAATTAAGAATAAATACAATATTGTGGTGTCTGAGGAAATATAAAATTAAAGATTGGAAAATCGTGCGATCCTAATCGACGAATGTGTTTTCAGGGGAACGCTTCTATTCAAAAACTTGTGTTTGTGCAAAGCTGGAAGCACCGTGAAGAATATTGGAGCCCGGAATGTGCTCGAGTCGAACGTGATCGGTTGATCGGCAAGTAGCGCGAAAATGCGAGTATCCTTATCGTCTTTGACGCTTGTCAAGAGAATGGCGACGAGCACCAGGGGAAAAAAGAGCGATGAGCGAGCCACTCGCATCAGCGTGTTAGCTGCATAACTGAATTCCAGGATATTCAGAGCAGCGGCCGTAGCGAGATGCTTTTAGGTGCGTAATTCGATAGTGAACTTTCGAAAATATGGCAAGGCGGAGCGAAAATGGCGATTCAGTTGACACCGATCTGTGAAACGATCCGTAGGATCGTGAACACCGGCCATTTTTAAATGACTATTTTTCCAGACAACGGAACCAGCGTATCGGGGTCGCGCGGAAGCGTCATACGAAATAGATCAAAGTCCGAAAAATACAATCGAAAATTTGTAACTCTGTTAAACGCTGCCTGCGATTCCAACGAAATTCCGGAAATTTTGTTGCGTCTTCGAACGATTCGAAAAGCTCGATAATTTTCTTTTAAACGATAATTTCGGAAGCAGTTTTAAGAGTATAATATACGTTCGAGTAATTCTGTTGTAGTCCGGAACAAGTAATTTTTAAGAAATTCTGAACCGTTGATCTTCGATTTTGAAATGATTATTTAGAAAACCGCCGGTACGTAGACTGTTAACTATATAATAATGACAAGCGCCTCGCAGATATTTTGCCTTCGACGAGCTGTGAAAAAGTCTCCGGCGAATATCGATTTCGTTCTGATAGGTATGACGGAGAGTTGATTGGCGAATGATTGACAGCACAATGTTATGTAAGCTAATTTAGCGCGTCCACATAACCTATATACGATTCACCGTTTTAGAAATAAAGTAAATAATTTATCTTAATTCATTTTAAAGTTAAATAATTAATTAACGATATCGTTTGCTTTTCGGGGGAACACTATTGTTCTTCCGGAAATGAATGCTTAGATAGAGAGAAAAGTAATTATTATTAATAATACAGTAATTATTTGTATTAATAATACAGAAAAGTAATTTTAGAAATGCGTAAACTTTCGTTATAAAATTTAAAAACATTCGAAAGTTCCTGCAATGCTTATGTATTTTTTAATCGAATAATTCTATATAATTTATAGATAATTATACAGCGTTCTTTTTACAATTTATTGTGTTTTCTTATCGAACGCTGTCTAAATAATTTATATGCAATTGTATAATTATGTTTTTATAATCTATTGCATATTCTAATTGAATAACGCGCAGAACGAACAAATCGAAAAAAAAGTCGAGATTGATCGACCGAACCGAGAGTCCCGATCAAATGTGAACTGCACATTCGTTTCTGGCGTTCTGTCTTTTTGCTTGTCGTGTACATCTCCTTCGTAACCACGGAGACGTAATCGCATTAAGAGAGAATATTCTCTTCTTCTTATAGCTGATGGTTTACTCGATGATCTTTTTCTCGCAATAATGAACGAAAGTGTGCCTCTATGTTTCCCAATTTGTTCGATTTACTCGAGCGGAACAAATTGTTTGACTCGGGATAGTGAGAAAATGAGAAACGACTTTTGTCAACTAAAACTCTAGCAACATAATGATAATTAGCATTAGTCTGCAGATTTTATGCGTTTGTCTTGTTATACTGTTTTTTCAATTTATTAAGATCATTCAAAAGAGAAGCACATCTTTGTTTAACGCTCGATCTGCGCGATTGATGCAGGCACAATTCTTATTTCGCGTAAAAATCTGCGATCTAATTGTTATCGTCGCTGTCGTGTAATTTTTTGAGCATTTAGGATAGCTTAGAAATGGAATACGAACATTCGATTTCAGATATTTGAAAATTACGCTTCGATTACAAAAATTTGTATTCCACGTTTCGAATTTACCATTTACATGGAATTGCTCGTTCCGTAATTGCGATTGTTCCGTAGATATAAATAAACTTTCGCCAGAATGATTCCATTGACCGAAACAGAACTCTGAATTCGCCGCGGAACATTAAATTTGCCAGTTAAGGTCCCATTATATATCATTTTCTCTAATCACGTAAGCTTCAATTGACGCGTAAAATTGTGGGCTTGTGTAATCAGCCCAATGGAACCTACAAACGAACATCGCGCGATACGTGTTTTCCTGCGAGCGATATGTTTGTAAAATTAACTTAGAACAACGGTGTAATCGCGAGCCAGTGTTTTTGGACGGTGAAAATATTTCGATAATAAATCTTGGATCAATCGGTAAACATTTAGACGAACCGTGTAAATATTGATGAACAAATTTTGGAATATTTGAACACGGAGCTGTGTAACACTAATTAATTGTATCAAAGAAATAAAAGAAAAATAACTAATATTCAAGAATATTCGGAATGCAAAATTCTTAATTAAATAGGATAAATGTCAGTCCGATCATTTTCGTGAATCAGAATTAGATCATTCTCTATAGAAGAGAATATAAGTGGTAGTAGACTGCGTATAGTCAGACACATTATCCCCTCGCTTCGTTTCACACAAGCAGCCATTTTTTAAAAAGAAGACTCGATATAATTAATCGCTCGAGATTCTAAAGTATAATCTTGATAAATCGCAACGAACCTATTATTTACAATTATTAGACAGAAGTAGTAGACAAAAAGACATAAACTGTATGATCGCTTAATAATTAACTGTTTGTTTGCTAAGTTCTATTTGCTTAAAAAAAAGAATGTCAAAAATACGAAATACTATTTAAAAAATATGTCTAATGTAATATTTAAACTGTAATATTTAGTCTACGGCTAATAATAATAACAATATTACAATTATACATGTTGTTAGAGGCATCTTGAAAATAATGATTAACCCTAAAACAATGTTCGTCATCTTAAACGATTGCAAAAACGATTGGTATTAAATATGTATTTTTGTACCAGGCATGGCTGACTTCTTTCGACCGTGAGCCACGTGCTCTCAGTCCTTCTCTCTCCCCACTACTTCGGTTCCGTAAACACTACTACTACTACTACTCCATGCCACCTTGCTACGCGTAGCACGGGCACGTAAGGTGGCTCTCGATTCGATCACGCCGCAGGCGATGTTGTGTGAGTGACGTCTGAAGGTGAATAGTGGACTAGCGAGCACGAACTACGAAGCACGTAAGTAGGGGAAAGAGTCACATGTGGTTCTCGAACCGTCGCCGGAACATCTTCGTTATCTTCCACCACTGCGATTAATCCTAATGTAAAAGTTCTCGCTATATTTGTTTAAATATTCATTCTTATTTTTTAATGGCAAGGAGAAATCTTTGTTTCTCGCAATTACAATAAATTCTCCCTAATTGACGCCCAGCTTGTAAAGAAAAACAGACTAATTCGGGAAGAGGAGACACGATTACAGTAATTTCCCCCTAATTCGCGCTCAGATTGCGCGTTTTTATAATTGTTGACAATCGGTATCTGTAGAAACGAGCTACATGGATCGAACAATCGCGTCTCCTCTTCCCAAATTGTCCATTTTTGTGTACAAGTTGAATATCAATTAGGGAGAATACACAGCACACGTACTATAATTTATCTACAAGACCGACCAGCAAATGTATTTCCTGTCGGAAAGGGTAGCCTGTTGCGTCGGGTGCAAATGTCCGGTTTCAAATAACATTTCCGCTCAATTTTAGTCCTTTGAGCACGCGACGATGCTGAGCTTCAAACGTCTCTTTGTGTTCGGGACGTCGGAACGATCGCACGCGATGCACGAATTCCATAAACCACCTTTTTCTTACGGCGGCTCGCCAATTTCCTTCGTATCGTTCGGGGCAAGACAATTTTATAGAATCATCCAACCTCGAGGATGTTCTGCACAGAATCGCAATAATTATGCTGTTTGCTTCCAATATAAAATTCATCTGTGGACTCTGGTAAACTAAATATTTTACATTAAATTTATCTCTGGACCCTTGTAAACTTCGACAATCATAGAACATATGTATAATTGTTATATTATTATTATTATTATTATTATTAACCATGGACTAAATACTACAGTATAAATATTACATTAGACAGCGTAAGTATTTTTTAAAAATAGTATTTGGTATATGAAATTTTTTTTAAAGCAAACAGAACTTTGCAAACAGTAAATTATTAAACGAAAATACGATTTATGTTTTTTGTCTACTACTTTTGTCTCATAATATCAGAATTTGTGTCGCCGCTATAAAAAATTTATTTCCGGACTCTTGTAAACTAATCGTTTAAATTAAAATTGGAAGACTATTATTATATAATTTACAATTATAGAAGTGTAATAATAGAAGTAATTTAGTATTATAGAATTTCAAAATATGTATGTACGACGATGTTAATCTTTATCCTAGATTAATTTATTCAACGTTGAGTGTTTACCTCGCTTTATTGTTGACACTGTTCAATTACGATCTTCTCGCGTATATAATCGTCCTTATACTAATCCGTAAGTATTTTCGTTTGTTAACGCGAGTCGGCTGAAAGGGGCCCGTCGTGGATCGGTCCGTAAGCGGGTGCCGGGACACGCGGCGGCGCCCAAGATATCCTAATTTCCCGCAACGAAGAAGCGCCGAAACGTTCGGCGGAATCACGCGACATAATGGATCGCGTACGGTGGCATGGCAGCAGGTAAAGGCGTCGCGTCGCGAGCGTCCATGATCAAAGGCCAGCCCGAATGGGAAATTATAATTAATTAAGGTAATTGGAAATTAGCGACCGATCTTGCCGGTACTAATGGCGCGCCCTACTCTCCTCACAATCGAGTTAGCCGCCGCTTTTGAGGAGCCCCTGTATCGCTGATAGCCGGCTCTAATCGTATTCCTACGGGCGACTCGATAGAACAGCTAATAGCATCGTCGGCGACGATGTCGCAGTCTTCCAAGTAGTTGGCGTGCTGCTTGCCCCAGTTGTTATTTGAAGGTTTGTACAACGGAGTGTCGAATTACGCGCGACGCGCCCCGCCGCCGGACGGAGATCTAAGCCCGGCGAATCCAAATTATTGCGAGACCTGTTTCACGACGCGGATCCACGGATCCGCGGCTTGCGCGCGAATTCTTTCGTTTGATCTCGACGCTTCGCCTGGCAAAATATTTTCGGGGTATTTATTTAGCGGCGCGTTGGAAAGATCGACACACGCTGTCGATACTACAACGGTCCGGCTAAATAAAGGACCCGCGAACGATCGATATCGTATCGTTATTACGATATCGTCGATGTATATTGTCAATCTGTATCGCCAGCGCGACATTGACAATATTATATTGTCTGCATAATACTGTCAATATCTGTTGTCCGCGTAATATTGTCATTAGATATTGTCTGGACAATGTGGTAATATATATAAATGTGTAATATTATATTATATATTACATTATATATATATATGTATACAACAATTATAAAAACTTTTGTTTAGAAGCACTTTCCCCAAAAATTTTTGTTTACAAGCTGAAGAAAAATTAAGGAGAATTTACTGTATAACGTACGTACAAAGTATCAACCCTTTGCAGAGTCGAATTGAAAGAAAAATCATTATGCTGCTCGGAAATTGTATAGAACTGATAAATAAACGATTTTGTGCTTCTAATTATGCATTTTACGCGATTACCATACAGTGCGAAGGAAAATGACAATTAAAAAGATAAAAATATTCAATTTGACGTGAATATATCGTGTCGCCGTATCGGCGACATCCGAGTGCAAAGGGTTAAGATCGAGACCGCGTTAAGAGGAAAAAAAAGATTTACAGCAGAATTTGACGAAATGGCCGGATCGAAAGCGCGACGATAATTCGTTGGAAATTAAATCCATCAAGACGTTGCAATTTTCCGGGACGGTACGTGGACTCTTAAATTACACTTTCGCTTTAATTCGGGCCAATTTCAAGACCCGCGAACGCTCTTCGCAGATAAGAAGCCCGAAGTGAAATCTAAATCTCGGGGTCATTTTCCACGAGGTAAATGCCAATTAGCCGACCGGTTAACGCGGTATTACTTGGCTGCAGGAGTGCATTACTTGACGCATCCCTCGGTTCTAGCAGCGAAATAACGCTTGACAATGTTACCGGGCGTCAGCAGGACGAAGTCGGGGAATATCGGAATGAAAAAAACGCCACCGGTCTGCAACCGGTGTTGATGCATTTTAGACGGACTTTTAACTGTCGCGAGATAAATCCTGGATAAATTCAGGACGGATGTTCTGGTACCTTTTAACGATATAAATAAATTGTGACTACGGTTTCTTTTTTTTCCGAATTGCATTTGACACTTTATTGAGGAAGCTTTTTAACAGTCGTTTTAGAGTCGAGGCAGTTAAGAATTTTTTACGAAATTATTGAAAGCGACAGCAATCTTGTCAAGTATTTAATGTAACAACTTCTTCTGAAATTATTATTTAAAAGAAAATTTATCTCGTCTACGAATAGGCTTCCGATAACTGAAGTATTACAACCTTGTAATTGCGTTTGGCTAATTAACAAGCTTCTTTCCAGGAAATACTAAAAATATTATTCCATACCAGGAAGGAGATGTTCTTAGATCATTTAAATAAAATTAACTTTGTTTTTAATTCAACAGATATACAAAGTACTTCTAATTTATCTTTATTTTGTTGCAATTTTCTCGAACGCAGACAGCAGGAAAAATATCTGATAAATCCAAAGTTAATTGTGAACAAGCAGAATAACAATGGTAATAATAGCGATGGTTACAATGATAAAAATAATGACGATAGTAAATCCCATATGGGAGAAATAAGGATATTTCCACTACAATCTCTGCTTGTCCTAAGAGGCTACTAATTGCAACGAAAATCGATAAAATATTGACAAAGCATGTGGTCACTCTAATTTACAATTTAACATAAAAATAAAACAGAATTTGCTATTTTTCATAGATGATATCGTACATACAATAATTATTTAATAATAATTATTATTTATTAAAACGTTGTTATTCTGGTTCGAATTACATATTAGTCCGAATGTAGAGCAAAATATCGCAGTTTCTCGAAAATAATGAGCTGCCTTTTCTTCCACGATTTTCTAAAAATGTTTCGTTTGTCATAACAAAGTTTGCTTTAGTCGAAAAATATGTCTTGCGTATCACGATTGGCAGACGCGTAGGAAGCCATAGTCTCATTGTTGATGAACGACGCCATTCACTAGCTACGCTTTAATTTCCTGTTGCACAGTGCCCCACATGTTTTAAAGAGGGCACGTCATTGTCTATTATATTGTTGCTAAGCACTAATTGTACCACGACAGGGTACACGATGATTATCTAGAAAATGAGAAATCAATTGGCGTACGCAGTTTCGTTACACGAAATGAGTCGATAAAATCCGCTGTCTGAAGTAAATTCGTTATTTATAGTTCTAATGAAGAAATGTTTCGACTTCTCTCTCACGCGACATCAAAATGATCTTGAGTTCCTTAAATTACACTGTGCTGCATTGAGATAGTCGTAATAGTTCAAGAAGGTAAGTCCACGTAAGTATAGTCCTCGCGCGACAAGAAGGCATCTTTGTGTTTACGTTCCCCCTCTTACTGACTGCCACGCTGCCGCAGCTAGTAATAGGGGGAATGTAAACACAAAGATGCCTTCTTGATGCGCGAGGACTATACGTTCGTCCCAATGGACAGTTTTATCTTTTTTATCCGCTTCTAAGGTTCAATGATAATTACAGCTTTATTATAATAATATATTTATAACAATAACTATATTTTTCGCTTTATTAAGTCAAATACGTGTGCAGCTGTCCTATGTGCAAATAAAAAAAATACAGATTACATTTACATACTAACCAAAAGTCGATGATTTTCTATCTAAATTTGAGAACGATTTATTTCTTAAAAACATTCCCCAAAGAATTTGCGAATCACGATTCAGTTGATTAAATTGATACAATTAAGTAACAAGCGCTGCTCAATGATTTTGTGTACGAACTATGAGAGTTATTTATTCACCGAAAATTATTTTTCAATAAATTTGTAAATCGCAATTTGTAACTGACGCTCAATGTTAATCGGGTATACAACTTTGCAATTATCATTTCGCGAATCTCGAACGAAATCGATTACAACAAAATTTCTACGGATCTAGAATCAGTTGCGAGACATATCACAATTGATTAGGAAAAGATACTAAGTATCTCCGACATGCGTCTTCGTTGATGTTTCTTCGTGCGAATTTACGATCATTGCCGTCGGTGTAAATCATTTACGTAAAAAAGGTCGATTCGACCGCGAAGCTATCGATGGCAGAGGAAACCCGAGTAAGATCGTAGAAAAATATCCGCGGAACGAGAAGAGTTAAACTATCCAGTACGCGAATAATTGAATGCGCCATTACCGCGGGATTAGTCACACACGAAATTGAGTCACAACCTATTGAAATCAAGCTGATTGAAATTTATAAACGTATGCGTCACGTAATTCGAGAACACGTTACAGAGAACATGTAGTTTCTGGAAGTGCGATCATTGGATCGCGGATCTTTTTGCAAAATAATACAAACAGTGGCATATTAGTAAATCGAAAATAGTATTTTACTTTTAAATATTTTTAACATTTATTATTCATTAAATTCTCCTGACATCGTCGCGGTTTTCTATTCGACTTGTTCATTTTTATTCCACACATTTAATTTTCCTTCATCGATTATTAATCATATTTTTTCATTCGTTCATTTATTTATTTTTTAGTCATTAATCATGTTTACTGATACTGGAATTAAGTAAATACGTACGAATTTCAGAAAAAAACTGAAAAAGTATTTATACGAGTGCAATAATTACGAGGAATAATTAACGCAATTAAAAATCGATTTAGTACGCGTGCACTTGACTGACGACTGGAATCACAGATTCCGCTACTGTGTCGTAGTAAGCATAGCCTGACACCATGTACTATAAAAAAAAACAATCATAGTAACGGTCTGCGGTGAAACCCTCTAACGCCGGTCATCAGTTAGGCGAACGCGCACCAGATTGATTTTTGATTGCATTTTTCTCGAAAACGAAGCCGCCGATGCAATTCCGTTGTCCCTGATTTTCGTCTTATTTGGAGCCGCACTTTTCCCCTGGCCTCATTTTCACCACGAATCTGATAGATACATCGCAATATTATTGCGATTATTTTATATAAAATCGAATTCAGATTTGCTTCATTGGAACTGGAATCTCGCTGAACATTTGTTTAAAGGGAATTACTTTAATCCTTGTGCAATGTTTAAAGAATTATTCTGTACTTTGCTGTAATCAAAGTCGAATTTTTTATACATTAAATATTCTTTAACAATTGCTGTTTAAACTTTCCGATGCCGGTTTGAAAAACTGTTTCGCATGAAAAAATGCTCATAACGAAAATCCTAAAAGTAAACTGTACTGAAAGGAAGCGAGTTGAACAATAGGAATGTCATCTTAAATAATAGAGATATTCATCTTAAATAATAAATAGTCATCTGAAAGTTAAATATTTCGCATGTCTAATTATTTGGTTATCCGATGTATCTTGTAACACATTCGAAGCAGATCACGCATTAATTAAGCCCTCATATTTATCAAAAACATTTGCATAAATGTCCGCCGCTTAGTAAAATTCTTCACGAACAGTACTTCGAAGCGCGTTTTGAACGAATCATGCGAAGAAAGAAAGATAGTCGTTTTTATTAAAAATTGGTTTCACTTACCGCCACCGTTTTTGTAACACAGATAGGGGAATCTCCAGACATTGGCTAGATCAACGGCAAATCCGATGACGGATAAGAGAAAGTCGACCTTGCCGGACCATGTCTCCCTGCCGTCGACGGAGTCGTCGAGCTTTGGAGGATTCTTCACCACCCTCGACGACATTATGCGTCCTCCTACAAAGAAAGGAGACCCTTCATTATTAACTACTAAATACCGGAGTAATCGTGTCACTCTGAATACAGTGAATTCTTCGTAATTGACACTCAGATTGTGCACAAAAATGAGGAAATATAAAGATATATAGAGGAGATATGATTATTCGAGCCTTGCGGCCCGTTCTTTTTAGTCCGAATAAAATCCTGATTTCTCGTGTCGTAATTTAAACATTTGCGTGAATGCAGACACACAATAAATATAAATTATCTTTTTTCTTCTTGGAAATTATTACAATCGGGAAGCTTCTAATCATTGTAACTATGAAGAAAATGATACCGCAAGGGGTTGAAGGAAGATAAAAATGTCCGTGTACCATCCCTGCATCTTGCAATTAATTACATGAAAAAGTGGAACGTTGTTCGCTTTAAACGTATGAAAATTGGTCTTGAGGGGACTATGACCTTTACATCACCATCATCATCATCATCATCATCATCATCGTGTAGGTGCAAGGGGTGCACTGCGAACATCCCAATTGATTCGATCTTGGGACATTTTAAGATCTACAAGATATATCTTAACGATTCTTGTAAATCCTCTCCGTTTCATTCATTATTAATTTCTAATATTAATGACTATACTACTGATCGGTGAACGAGTGCACTCCCATCTCCAAAAAAAAGAAACCAAAGCGGACTGAAAATATCGAACGAATTTCTCGATCCGGGCCACCGTGGGCCGCCGTGATCATCAAACGCGGACGTTTCGCCGCGAGCCTAACATAATAAATTACAGAACGGCCGGTGCATTACACAACTAATCATCGTCGATCGACCGATTTTAATCGCAGCCGGAGTGCGCACTCGAGGAATCTCCGATATGAAACGCGGCAACAGATCGAGATTCATCGAGCGCGGACAGGGGTATATCCCGGATCGAGTTGACAAGCGTAATGGGTCCTTCGTTTCGCGCGAGTTTCCCCCCTCCCCCTGCCCCGACCGCGGTGAAGGAATTCGCCTAAAAAAAAAAATCGCTAATTCACCGCGGACGATCTAGGCGATCGTTAGATTATTACGTTTCGTAAAGCCGGACACGCGACGGAACAGGGTAGAGGGGGTGTGGGGGTGAAGGGGGGAGGTAGTAAGGGGGCGTTGGGCCGCGTGGGTGGGTGGATTGGCAATGGTGCGACGGCGGAGGGGGTCATAGGGGGGTCAGAGGGGTCGAGACGCGTGCGAGCTGGGACGCGGGCGCGGTCGCGTGTGTAATTTGGCGACGACAAGTTATCGATAGCCCTTCAAGCGACACCGCTTAAGCTCCGAGCGAGGCTCATTGTGCCCCTGTGACGGGTTGCGGACAAACAGCGTATATTTCAAAGGCGGCCGCGGTGCCGGCCTCGAGGGGACTCTGACTCTCGACGAGGGGTTTTCTGTCACACGCACTGATCCACGCTTGTCTATGGATCGACCCGATTAATTGATATTCGGCGGTTATTGCCAAACGACGATGGAACACGCCGCGAACAGGTGCGAGACGAGCAAGACACCGCGACCAGCGCCGCGGACCACCCTGGACACCGCTCCTCACCTGACGAGGGAACCCCCCGTGGACTGGTACACGCCGATTTTTTTATGGAACTTTGCGCAAGTGCTTGACACATTATGTAAAAAAGAAAAACGGTAGCCGGGATTTGTAAATAAAACGTAAACTGCTTAGTGAGTCGTCGATTTTGTTGCCATCGAAATACGTTTCGTCCGAGGCAATATTTTTCAAATGCTGGACAAGGTTCGGTAGTGGAGCCGATTCACGGGGAACGACCAATTGCTGTGCCCTCTGGTTTGTTTTCGGAGATGATTTTGTTTCGATAATTGTTTTCGATAATAATAATTTCTCTCGGAAATGTCACATTTCGGGTTGCTGTGAATTTCCCTGTGCTAGTCCTACGCCTATGTAATTTATTGCTACGTCGATGCTAAGGGTGTGTTTGGGCGTGAGCCAGGTAAGAAACTAGGTATATGACCGTCGAATCGTGTCATGTGGCCTCCGAATTGCCTTCGAATCGTGTCATCTGGCCTGCAAATTGTCTTCGAATCGTGTCACGTGGCCTCCGAATTGCCTTCAAAAATTAAAAATTGGAAAATTAAGTCATCGTCTTTATAAAGTCATCGCTTTCTACAAGAACGAGTCGCGAGGCCCGAAGAATCGTGACTTAATATTCTCAGATCTGCCGGTTTCAATTCCGACCTTCGTACATTTCTGAGAGAAATTACTGTAATTTGTTTTCTTTTCTTTTGTTCAGTTTCGAATCAGACGCATATCACTTCGTACATGTAATTCTCAAACGATATGCACACCCAAATGAAAATCCTACTAATTGATATGTGATTATGACACGAGGATTTTGTTGCGATAATATCCTGATTTCAGTTTCTTAATTTGATGAGCGAGGATCTTCACGAAACTCGCAAGTCTACAAATTATGGACACGCCAAAACTTACTGTAGAACTTCTTTAATTAATTGATTGATGGCGATAAAACGATGTGGAAGAAGCTAATGACTTTCGACCTGTTTTAAATGCAAAATTATTCGAATATCTCGGTGGGAAATTGAACAGCGACCCGACCAACGCTAAATGAAACATTTCACGTGGGGAGATAATTTATATTAACTACTTCAGATAATAAATAAAAACAGAAATGTCAGACGAATCTAGGCATTTAACGATTCATTTAATCGTCGTTAATATTTAAGAGTCTTTTCATAGTCGTCGCAAATGTAAATAATTCTTTGAATTTATATTAGACCGTAGGAATGGTTCTGATTTCAATTCAAGTGTTGCTATTGTTTAACGTATTTCATTGAACACGTTTGAATTTCAACGTAACAGTGATTTTTGATTGAATGGAAAACGATTAAAAATAGATTTAGAAGAATGCACCTCTACGTCATACAAAAAGTTGCCAAAAAGAGAATTGTGAAATAAAGAATCGTTGAACAGAAGTAGCAACTTATCATAGAAAAAGACAAGATGATTTCATTAAAATCACATTTCGTCAGATATCTCGGCAGTAATTATCTACAACTACGAAACTGTTTCTGTCCAAAATTATTCAGTCAACCCATCGCGGTCCAAAGCGTTTCCGGCCTTCCATTCCGAAATCGTCATTATGATCTATTAATTGGTCCACGTTTTGATGTCTTTTCACCGATCTCCGCTTTTACAGACCGTGCATTTACAGAAAATTTCGCAACTTATGAAGAAATTAATTAATCCAGTTAAATTGCAACATAATTATCATGGCTTCTTTTATTGGATCGAGTCAGACATTTATTTTATTTTTTTTTTCATCTATTCTTTCCTTTTGATTTTCTTTTCTTTTATTTCTTTTCAACCCTTATCTATTTAGCGAAAGCAGAAACTCGTTTATCCCGATGACTCGTAGTCAGTCATTCCAAAATTAACAATTTCTATTTCATATTTCTTTTTTTATATTTCTATATAAATAGAGTGCTTATAAGACGACTGACGCGCGTTTCTCGGGGTTTAAATGGAACTGGGGGAAGAAAAGTTTCGCGTGCAAAACGCAGAAATTCGTGGAAACACGACCGTATTGGTGGGGGATCCGAGGTATGCAAGGCTGCAAACAAGATTGCAGTATTAATTAATTTATCGTTAGATGAGCCGCTGTATCCGCGATCGAACACCGTCTACGGGGAGCCAAGACTTGCTAATACCTGACACACAGAGCTTCCAGCAAAAGCGATCTTCGTGCAGAAAGAAAATGGAGAATGTCAAGAAACTGCTGAAGTAAACCGTTCGAGTAACCAAAATTTTAATACGCGATCGTTCTATAGAATAAAATATAATAGAATTGAAAAGACTAGAATAGAATAACAGTAATAATAACTGGTGCGTAATGCCTCATAAAAGTTAAAATGTTCGTAAAATTTGATGTATTAAACATGCTCCGATAATGCAATTTAGTCAAGCATTTCGCACGAAAACGTTTTTATAGTTTCTTGAATTTGTGAAATATGAAATCAGTTATTATAAATAAATAGACGTGATGATAAATTACGTTTTAATATTACTGATATTATTAAAATTACTAAGATTAATGATTAATAGAAATAAAAAACGTCGAGCCGATCAAAATATCCATTTACACATTTTTAACATTGAAGTTGTTGAAATTATAAAGAAATTATGCATTCAGTCGGTTTTTAGTGCTTGGTAGGTTTAGTATCAGTATCCACTAGACCATCGTTAAAAAAATTGATCGCTCCTTGGAAATGTTGTAACGAATCCTTGCAACATTCTGTGAATTACGTATTTGGCAAGGATTACATAAACCGTACAGGCTAGAAAAAGAGTAAACGATGAAACCTGAGAATTGTAATATTAACTGGCAATGAGACCACAAAATGACCGTGAAAAAGAGCATAAGGAAAGCCAGAATCATTGCATTAAGAAACAATCGCTTTGATATAATCGATCCCTAAACAATCATGATTTTTTTTTATCAACGTTTGATTTATTTAAAAGTTATTAGTCGCTCGCATGTGAAATTGCCTTATTTTTCACGCCTATTGTTTTCTGTCATATTTGAAGACAGCTCACAATTGTTTCAAACAACAAAAATCAAAACTGTTTTCTACAAGTAAAAACTGATTAGAAATTAGACTTAAATTGTTATTGTATCGAATATCGCGTAAAAGATTAATATTACCTGTATAATAATGAGCCTCGATTTAACACCGTGCTAAACAATAAAGCAATTTCCTTCACCTTTCAGGGTAAATGACCTTTAAAAGCCATAAATGAATGAAAAGCGAATTGAATATTTCGCCCAAAGGCTGCTTTGACACCCTTTTGTCCTCTTTGCCAATTTTGAACAAAAGTGAGAGTACCGATCGAAACTCGTTGCAAAACGTTTTTTTCTCATCCTTGTAAAATCCGAAAAGAATGATTTACGAACTAATGGCCACAGCCGTGTACGTTTTACCCATTCTATCGGGTATATTATTATTAAACGATATTCGTACGCATAGTTTAATTTTTGTTCGTTTTATTGTATCGAAGATATTGTTTGGAATGTGCGACTAACAAGCAATTCCTCCATTCATGTTTCCCGCTTTTTGTTTTTAATTGCTACGTGCGTGCAATTTATCATTTACGATTTACACGGGCCGCTATTGTTGCGCGAGTTTAATCAATAATTCGGTTATTCGATGCGAAAATTGTTCATCCTTTTACAGTGATACCGAGGAGACAGCGTAGAGAGTCAATGGTTTTAATACACTGAATTTTTATAGACTCCGTATGATTCTGCAATTCTGTGTACAATATATGCTCGTGTGCTTACATTATGCCAACAACTATTTATAATGCAGCAAGTATGTCGATGAAAAGAAATATGTAATTTTATTACCGATGATATATTTATTTTATGATATGCGACATGCTACTTTTTATATTTATATCAGTGCCGTTTTTTGTATCAATTTAAACTAATGAATCTAAAAATGAATTAAAAATAATGAATCATTTCAAAGTAGTTCAGTTGTTGCGAAGCAGGGAAATATTGTCTGATATAATTTATATAACTTCGAAAATTAATATTAATTGTTTAATGCGAATTAATGTTTAAACATAAAGCCAATTCGACGGTCGGTTGGCTTTTTTATTCGTTGATTAAGTAAATTATCCTAAACTGATGCAAATTATCTTAAATCGTACTAAATTGTCCGCGGATTATTCCACAGCTAGACAGCATATCTCGAGGCTATTCAATTTTTAATTAACGTTCAATTAAAAACAGCTTGCAGCTGTGCCCCGTTCTCTGTATTAGCCGAGTAATTTCTTTTCATACCCTATATTTACCAATTTTATTCTGCACCGTTTGCGCAACATAAACGCTCCCTTATTAACTATTTTAATTATGGTATGATAAGATACGGATTTTGGGAAACATTTTAGTAACAAAAATCAAGGAGAAACATATTATCCAAAATTAATTTAGTAACCACGATGATAATAATCAATAATGTTTAATAAATGTCGCAATAATTGTACAGTTGCTGAGGAATAGCAACGATGAGAGAAATAAGAAGAGAAAGAAAGAAGAAATAAAACATCATACAGATAAATCAAAGAAAAATATAAATAATAACAATGATATTAGTAGAATAGAAGAACAATAAATTCAATTAGGCGTAAGATCTGCGATCTAGTAATATTTGTGCAATTACAAAAAAAGAATTCAAATGGTACGAAAAAATGACCAATGATTTCAATCACATAATTCTGGAAAATAAAAATAGAAAAATGACATTTACTCAGATTTTACATAATTTCTCATGTATTATAGCCACGAATAAATAGAGCGTCTCTAGAATCTCGATAATAATTGTAAAGTCTAAAGCCTGTCATTTTGACGAGTCCATTAGTTCTAGTGCGAAACACCCGTTGAATTGTCGCACGGTATGACCTGCTGTGGACAAAAATCGAAAAATTGTTGTCCTATTTTCAATAATCGTTTGGCGATACCATTAATCGATAAATAAACTATATAAATATAAACATTAATACCCGAAAAAATCGATAGAACATTAGCGTAATGGAGCCAGTTACTGTGGGGTGACCAATTGCTGTGCTTTTGGTTTGTTTTCGGACATATCTTTATATTTATCAAATAAGACATATTCAATTTTTTTATTTTTTATTTTAATAAATGTAATGTGTCTTATTCGACAAATATAAAGTTAATTATGTCCGAAAACAAACCAAAGGCACAGTAATTGGTCATCCTACAGTAACCATCTCCACTACCCTAATTGAAATAAATATACCTCACAACCCCTAATTACTAGAAAATCAAGTCATTTGTTCAACATTATTTTATTATACTATATACAAAATTATTTTTTGACGAGTGTTAAATAGTGTTCGTTATATCTTGAACATGAAGGATTTGAACAAAAGCATACATAACTTTAGTTAACAATTAAGAAGTTTTTTTCTTCTTAAAAATTTATTTAACCACTTGCCGTACTTTCACGAGTCTGACTTCGATATTTAAGCATTGAAATAAAAGGCACACAATAAATATAATTTTTCCTTTCCTTCTAAGGAATTATTGCAATCGAAAAACTTTCTATCATTGTAACCGTAAACTTCCGACAAAGGGTTAGGTATACATCCTTACAGATGAGGGGGAAATTCAATTAAATCAAGAATTTTAGATGATTTGCAGAGATCAACGTAAGTTGAAGAATCTGAGAATACTGAATCAGAAGACAGCTACTAATTTTATGAAATTTGATTAAACTGTAAATAAAAAATCTGTACAATCTTAATTACTAATTTCACAATTCGCGTATCAACATTTGGACATTTATGAAAGAATTTCGTCTATTCTCTAAAATTCAATTCGACCGCCTTAAACCCCCAGTAATAGATTATAAGTTCCCGACTTCCGGTTAGGTTATTTGCGATAGTCGGTAGTGGAGCGTCACGTTCTCCAACGGAGTACGATATTCTAAAGTGATCCGATGGTTAGGTTCTCTATGACTTACCGATGGAACAGGTCCCGAAGAATTAACGAATCAGACCGGCGATGTTACGACTGGGCAAGACACCGCGACACTGACCGCGGACCCCTTCGGTCCACAGAACTCCCTCGACGTGAACCCGCCACAGGGTCAAAAGTGCCTCGAAACTCGAGTCTGTCAGACCCATTCCCGCGTCACTGGCAGCTCACAGAACGGTGCTGCTTTTTTTTACGCGTGAAAAATGGTTCCCAGCGAGAGACCGCACCGGCTCTAAACTTTATCCCCGGGATTAAATCGCCGCTCGGCCAACACCTCGCGTGTCCTTTTTACAGTGTCCGTAGCATTATCGAGCGGCGGGTCGTTCGATCTCGTTCGAGCTTACTTGTTGCTGTCATTTACGCGCGCGCTTTTTTTTTCCCCTCGGAACCGTTTCAAAGTTAACCTGCGAGGGCCATCGTCGCGGTAGCCAATGGTGTGCCGTTCCTCCCGCGAATAGTTTTCCGGGGAGAAATCGTGCATCGGCCGCGACGACGAACCATCCAGAAGATCGGCGCACCAATTCGAAAAGGGAACCGCGTCGGAAAGGTTCGAAAGAGTGAGTGTGGAACTTTGCCGGCGGCCGAATGTATATACGCGGCGCGGTCACATGACCCCACGCGAGCCACGTGACAGGAAAACGGCGGCCAATCGCACGCCCCGAATTCTGCGCTCACCGGAAAGGCGCGCGCAGCGTGTCTTCGTGCGTTCAAGATGCACGATACCACAATCTTTCGATGGAAATGCTTTGTAGTTGATGCGTCGGTTATCGAACCGTGAAAATCTCATGAAGTACAATCTTTTAGGTAACAAAGAAGAAACAGTAACGTGTTGACAGGTACGTTGTCTTTGTTATAGTATTTCATTTATCTTTGATTAAAGGCACCTTTACATTTGTAACAGCACGTGGAGACACTGATCCGTTTTGTTGTTGCTGATTTTTACAAGACCTATGCAAATATAATTAAGCGAACACAGTAGTGCAAGACTAATGAAGTTCATTCGTTATGTCACTAAAGAAAAATTCATTTTTATTATTCGGTTAACGGTAGCACAACAATCAATGCTGTAGATGTTAAACTGCATAAACAATTACCAATGTATAACGTGACTAAATTTACTAACAAGGTTAAGAATATACAATATTATCAGTAAATATATAATAAATATATAATTATAATTAACATAAAAGAAATCGTCAAATCATGAGAACTTGAAATAGTAACAAAAGAATGTAACAAATTTTCGTTGTAAATAATTTTCTTAAAAATATCGTCATTACATAAATAAATCTCTCGGTATCCAACCGTTTATACTCAAATAAAGTGGTAGACTTGCAGAAATTTAATTACAATGTAAGGAAACTCACATTTTAGAATTGTGAATAATATCATATGGTAATCGTACATACTATATGATAATTCATACATTGCATTTGTCACATGCATTTATTATCACTAATATATTATATTTAGCTATATTGCGTTTGCGTTCTCAATAAACACTCCTAGTAAAAATGAAGTACATGGAATACTCGATTCCTACTAACAAATTCGATTTTGTGAACCACCGGTAATGTCGGTCGTGATACTAAAATGATACACGCCCCATTGTTGTATACATAGTACAGAATACTCCGCAATAGATGATATTGATTTTAAAAGATAATGTCCTTTTTCGCAATTAACAAAACTAAAAAAGCATAATACAATCATTATTGAAATCCATATTTGTATTTATAAATATATAATGGAATAAATATTGTTATAACTTCAAATTAGACCACGTGAATAGCTCTGTCGCGAAGCACGACCCTTTAGCACTAATTTAAAAGGTAAACATTTCTGGACTATATAAATTTCTACCATAAAACACTTCAAATTTGCCACGCTTTCTTTGACGGTCTGTACAGCGCCATGATACGTTGTGGCAAAACACTGAAACTGCTGAACAAAATTAACAACAGTTAATAATATATAGACATGTTTTATATATTTTTTTTAAGCTTTTATATTATTTTCCCTTACATACATTTGAATAAAATTTATGAGAAGAACATATTTACGATGGCAAGTAATTTTCTAAACGTTCAGGTTACTAGTATGGTCAATTCTAGTATTACTCTTTACTTCCGGTTGCGCAAGTCATTAGTTTCGTCGCCATCATAGCGACGAGATCGCGACCGCTTTCGGCCGTTGAGCCAGAAGACGATTTTATCGTCGTTTACGACGAAACAACGAGACAGAGCTTTTGCTCTGTTGAAGGACGTGTCCGTGGTTATCGTACTACCGTTTCATCGGGCGTCGATCATCGGCTACTCGAGGATATTTTCTCCATATTTGACGCTGAAAAAACATGGCTTATTGAAGAAGATGAAGGGCCTGCAGAAATACATTGTTTCTCCATACGGAGGAGACGAAAGCCTCATTTACGCTGGACATCAGCACGAACACATTCGTGCCGGAAATGGAAAAGAACACAAAATTTTCGCAATCCTCGGCAAAGGGGGCTCCTACTGATGCAAAAAAAACTCAAGGTGCGTCGTTATCTGAAAGTCGATCGCTCCGATAGGGACGTCATCTTCTTGCTGACGTCTTTATTCGCTTTATTTCATTATGAAATGAAATGCTTTTAATGATTCCATTACTTTTTATATTCTGTTGACCCGTTAAATTATTTTCAATTTAAAACATTGTAATTCTTCGCAGGATCGAGTTCTACTGTATAGTAATAGAATAAGAGGAAAACAATGTTTAAATTTGTTAAACTCCCTCTTACTCTTGAGCAAAAATGATAACGATAAGATTGAAGAGAAAGAATATTTCAATGTTTGAAAAGATTCTTAAAATCATGTTAAACAATGGAAAAAATCTAACTCTAATATATTCTTTGAAAAATTGCTAATTATAGTTATTCATACTTCTTTGCTACACATCATTGTAAACAAATATAATATAAATATCTCTTCATATTTCTTGAAATTCAAAATAATTATAGCATGAGTTTGATAAAACAAGTAATTTCGTATTGAAGACACCTGTGGTTAGAGAGTTGAAAAAAAAGTCCTTGAAACAAGAAGTGTTATTATTTACTAACGTGTGTCTTGTTTAATAAAGTAACTTTAGAATTTACTTGACTTGTCTCTTAAACA